AGCACAGGCAAAACAACCTGGAGCCTGTGCTTGGCACTGGAAGTAGGGGGCAGTCTTACCGGACTAAGCCCTCGCCCTGTAAAACCTGACGCTATTGCCACGTAAATAGCATTAGAATAGATCTGGAGTGGAGAACACACAGCTGGTATCTGCTGCAGAATTTATTTCCTTGCTTATTGATGGGGAGAAATACCCACATTTGGCCACAGAAGTTTTCTGTGTTGATTGTCATTGAGGGAGAGAATAGAAAAAACATTTGACTGTGGTTTTTCCCCCACCCAATGGCATAAGATGTAAAAGTTATTTTCACATGAAGCATAATAGCCTAAGATGTATAAGCTATTTTTTACATTTTATGCTATTGGGTAGAAAAACAAAAAGCTAAAGACACCTGAGTTCTAGTCCCACTGTTATAACTAACTATCCATGAATCCTTGAACAAGTCCCTTCACTTGCCTGGGTACCTATTTCTAACTTGGAAAATAAGAGAACTGAGTCATTACTGACAAAATCCTTCCAGGCATAAGAGAGTACATAATTTCCTAAACAGGTGACACATTGACTAGTAATTGCTTCAGATGCTCAAAGAGAAAAAATATAGAGTGATCAAATAATGTTGAATGGATTATCACCATCTTGCAAGTTTATAAAGCCACATTGGAATATTAAAGGAATTGAGATGCCTTGCAATAAAGAAAGCTCTATAACCAGTGACTGGGCTTAGTGGCTCACAGCTGTCATCCCAGCACTTTTGGAGGCTGAGGTGGGTGGGTCACCTGAGGTCATGAGTTTGAGACCAGCATGGCAAACAGGGCAACTCCATCTCTACTAAAAATACAAAAATTAGCCAGGCATCATGGCAGGCACCTGGGGTCTCAGCTACTCGGGAGGCTGAGGCAGGAGAATCGCCTGAACCCAGGAGGTGGAGGTTGCAGTGAAACAAGATCGCGCCACTGCATTATACCCTGGGCAACAGAGTGAGAGTCTGTCTCAAAAAGAAAGAAAAAAACTCTATAACCATCAATCCCAAACTAACTTAGCTGGAAAACTCTCTATTTTTATATTACCTGTTAACATCCTATAACACCGATACTCCAAATATACTTTGAAAAATGTTGAAAGGGAGTATCAACTGATAATTTTATAACACCTGTGCAATCTTCTTGTGTGTTGTGAAGCAGAAAGTAAATTTTCACCGCAAGAATGAATTTAAATGACTGTGGCTATATACTATCACCATTCTTATTCTAATTTTCAGAGAGAGCTCTAGAATGAAGCAAGCATTAAATAAAAGACATATTGTGAGGCTTTCATTCCAAGGTATAAAATCTTTGGTCATCAAATCAAAGTGGTGAGTCAGTGACTGGGGATAGAGAGGTATGGGAAGTGATTGCCTGAAGGTTATGTGGGGTTATTCTGGAATGGAAAAGTTCATTATTATTATTATTATTATTACTACTGTATCATTACACTTCAAGTTCTGGAGTACATGTGCAGAATGTGCAGATTTGTTACATAGGTATACACGTGCCATGGTGGTTCACTGCATCCCATCAACTCGTCATCTATGGTAGGATTTCTCCTAATGCTATCCCTCCCCAAACTCCCCCATCCTCCGACAGGCCCCAGTGTGTGATGTTTCCCTCCTTGTGTCCATGTGTTCTCATTGTTCAACTCCCACTTATGAGTGAGAACGTGCAATGTTTGGTTTTCTGTTCTTGTGTCAGTTTGCTGAGAATGATGGTTTTCAGCTTCATCCATGTCCCTGCAAAGGACATGAACTCATTCTTTTTTATGGCTGCATAGTATTCCATGGTGTACATGTCCCACATTTTCTTTATCCAGTCTATCTTTGATGGCCACTTGGATTGGTTCCAAGTCTTTGCTATTGTGAACAGTGCCACAATAAACATACATGTGGATGTGTCTTTATAACAGAATGATTTATAATCCTTTGGGTATACACCCAGTAATGGAATGGCTGGATCAAATGGTATTTACAGTTCTAGATCCTTGAGGAATCACCACCCTGTCTTCCACAATGGTTGAACTAATTTACACTCCAAAAGTAGAGAGAGAAGATGTGGCACAGCATTATGAACACTAAATGTCACTCCATTTTTAAAATAGTTAGTTGCAGGTTATATGAATTTCACCTCAATTTTAAAAAATCAAAGAATAGGACCTCTACTAGCACAACTTTACAAGATTAGGAAAAGGCACCACTTTGTGGTAGATACAAACAGAGGAGTGCACAGCTTGTTGAGCCTCCAGCTTGATATAAAAAATAATGTGCTCCTTCCTCTGCGTGGACAAAGCCACAGAGCCCCACATCAGGGTACAACCTGTACGTCTATACTCAATGACACTACAATGTGTTCAACATTTGATTCCCCTCATTTAGAGCTCTGTCATCTCCCGTCAGGATGAGAGAGTTTAGATTTGATGTACCTTGTAATTAAAAGGACTCTGGCCCCAGAAAAGCCTGGTTGGCATTCAGGAGGGAAGAGATAGATCATGTGACTTGGCTTAAGATAAACATTGGAGATAAGAGGAGGTCCTTGAAGTTTATGTATTGTCCATTCTAGATCACTAGGATGGAAGCCCAGAGCAGAAGAAGAGAAGCCCTACATAGGAATGCTGTATTCATTTGACTGGTACATCAATATATTTTATTTCTCAAGAATGTAAGTAAGGCAGTCACAGCTGAATTAGAGAACTAGTAAAATGGAGATGAAGATATTGGGAGAACCCCCAGAACTTGTAACTAGGAAATCAGAACCATGATATCTTAAAGAAAAATAATTTCAAACATTAGTATCTGTGTTAAACAAAAGTACAATGTTCAAGAATAACAGACAAACATACTCTTTCTTCATATGGTACTGGAATGGTCTGGAGCCCAGAACTTAAATGAAGTAATAAAAGCCAGAGGGAATAACCACAGTAGTAACAAAAGTGATATGTACACACAATGGAATACTATTCACTCTATAAAAAGAAGAAAATTCTGTCACACACTACAACATGCCTAAGCTTGGAGGACATTATGTAAAGTGAAATAAAATAAATTTCATTTTCTGGATTTACTTAGAGGAGGTAAGGGAATGTCGGATTAGTCTTCATTCTGTGGCATAGGAGTCAAATTCTCAAGTAAGTGCAAAATATCTTAAATTTTACACTGAGGAAGATGTTGAAAACAGTGTCACAGTAAAAAAGCCCAGAAAGGGAGAACTGATATGCAACACCCCCATCTCCAGTGCCCTTGTCAATAACATATTTCAAGATAACTAAGCCTTTTGCAAAGGCAGACACATCTTTTTAGTGTCAAGCATTCTGCTAAATTTAGATCTGAATTAAATAGCTCCTGAGATTGTTATCCTGACACATCCGCGTATTTCAAGCATCCAATAGAAAACAAATTAGCTAATCAAAGAATCTGTGATGCAGCTTTGCTTAAGAAGAAGCAAGGAATTCACAAAGAATCATCTTCTAAACCAAATTTGATGTGGGATTTGAAAATATGTCTTAGTTCTGACTCAGAAATATTTATGATGTAAACTCAAAGCTGTCATTTCTAGAGGAGCAGAACTACCACTTGGTGCTCTGGTTCAAAACCCAAGAGTAGCATTGTAGCTTGTATTTCTCTGTAACAGAGCCCATACTCCATGGAAGCCTGGCCACCTTTTACTGCATCTAAACAAAACCTTTATCTTCACCATCACCAGCTGTCTCATTCAAATTATGTAAACTTTCCAGTTAACTAGATTAGTCTCTTACATCTACAATAAACTGCACACAGCAGATTGAACACCCAGTAAATCACATACTCCAGTATTGATAAGTTAAAAGTATAAATTTATGCAGTTTAAAAACATCTACATCTTTAGAACATCCTAAGATAAAAGATGAAGCAAAGTTACAAGTCAAGTCAGTTAACTTTTTTAGCACTTGATATTTTCTTGAAGTGTCTTTATTATGCTGTCAAAAAAATAATATCTCCAGGAATGTCTCTAGTGAACAGTGTCGTTGCTTACCCTAAGCTCTCCCTTCCTTCCTCTTACTCTCAAAAAAGTCTGTAAGTAAGGAAGCCAAGTTTTACATCTTGCTCTCACCCTTGGAATTTCCTTAGAATGACTGCTTACAGTAAAAAAAAAAGAAAGAATGAAAGAACAAAAGAAAGAAAGAAAGGGAGGAAGAAAGGAAGGAAGGAAGGAAGGAAAGAAGGAAGAAAGGAAGAGGAAAAGAATTGACTATAGTTTCTGAAGAGTTTATTCTGGAATCAGATGGCATGGATTCAAACTTCAGATTCACTAGATATTAATGTGAACTTGAGTAAGTTACTTGAGGCTCAGTTTTCTCACATGGATGATGGGAGTAGCAATGATACCTAGTCCAGATTGCCGTGAAAATTCAGCAAATTGATACATGCAAAGTACTTGGAACCATTTAGGCACACAGTCAGTGATGGAAAAATGTTATCAGTAACAATTAATGCAAATCTCCCAGGCCCAAGAAAGCATCCCTTTCTGGCCAGCTGAATATAGCCCTGCTTTACAGTCAAAGTGAAGATAAGGAAGGTAGAGAAGGAGCCACAGTTAAAATTGGAGGGAATTAAACTGTCATGTGAGACTGAATAACCCAGTTGTAAGGGTCAACAATATTGAGTAATATTGACAATCCTTAAACATGAGGCATCCTTCAGTTATTCCTTGACAAAGAGAAAATTTTAACAAACATGGGGAGTTAGGGATTATATTCCTAATTAATGCCAGTGACTACTTGACCATAGTAAGGAAGCCTAATTGCATACCAAATAAAATCAATTTTAAAGGCTTTCCGAAGGTTCAACAAATAACTCAGGGAAAGACCAATTATCATTCAGAGACAAATTATCAAACACAAACAAGGAAGAGACTTCGGGAATTATGTAAACAGTAGCTGGCCAAGGCTTATAAAAGGCCCAGTGTGGCAGCCATCACCAAAACTCAAAAACTCCTCCAAGCAACCCAACCTTCAGACCAACTCCTGACAACATGGCCTGCTGTCAGAACACCTGCTGTGGATTTCCCAGCTGCTCCACCGGTGCGACCTGCGGCTCCAGCTGCTGCCAGCCAAGCTGCTGCCAGACCAGCTTCTGCGGATTTCCCAGCTGCTCCACTAGTGGGACCTGCGGCTCCAGCTGCTGCCAGCCAAGCTGCTGTCAGACCAGCTGCTGCCAGCCAAGCTGCTGCCAGACCAGCTTCTGTGGATTTCCCAGCTGCTCAACCAGTGGGACCTGCGGCTCCAGCTGCTGCCAGCCAAGCTGCTGCCAGACCAGCTGCTGCGGAACCGGCTGTGGCATTGGTGGTAGCATCGGCTGTGGCCAGGAGGGTGGCTGTGGAGCTGTGAGCACCCGTATCAGGTGGTGCCGCCCAGACTGCCGTGCAGAAGGCACCTGCCTGCCCCCCTGCTGTGTGGTGAGCTGCACACCCCCATCCTGCTGCCAGCTGCACCATGCCCAGGCCTCCTGCTGCCGCCCATCCTACTGTGGACAGTCCGGCTGCCGCCCAGTCTGCTGCTACTCCTGCTGTGGGCCCACCTGCTAAAAGCCAGGTTGCTGATTTTCAACTTGAAACTTTCACTTCCAGTTGAATTCATGAACTAATTATTTCTTCAAGCACTTGTGGACCACTAACAAATTCTTGAACTTTAATTTGGCTTTTGTTATGGGGGTTACCAGATATTTAGGCCTCAGAATTATCTGATTCCTTTGTGCTCCAGAAAAGACTTCGATCTTCTCTCTGAGGACGCCAAAATACAAATTGGACGCAAGAAATGAAAAAGCCAATTTGCAAGCACCGAAGCCCATGCTCTGAGGCTCAGCATTGCCAAGACCATGGAAGAGCTGTCTGTCCTTCTCACTTCCTCTATTCCACCACCCTGAATTGCACTTTGTATGAAAGAGAGATAATATAACAAGGTCTAATAAATTATAACTATTGGTGCAACAAACATATCTCTTTTTTATTGAATGTAATCATGATGTATATTTCATAGAACATCATATGAAAAATTTTTAATCTGCTTTTGATATCCCTTCCCTTCTGAAACCACATGAGGAAATTTGGTACCCAGAGGTCCATTGGAGGTTAACACCTGTAAAAAGATACAGTAAAGGTAGTTACTTAGGGCCTCGGAAATGGCAAAGGCTCTGTTGCCATAACCTAACCTTACACAGTGCTTTCACACAACCAGGAAGTTATAGAAATAAAAATCTCTGGCTGGGTGTGGTGGCTCACACCTGTAATCCTAGCACTTTGGGAGGCCGAGGTGGGCAGATCACAAAGTCAGGAGTTCGAGACCAGCTTGGCCAACATGGTGAAACCCCATCTCTACTAAAATGCAAAAAAATAGCTGAGCATGGTGACCTGCACCTGTAATCCCAGCTACTCGGAGGGCTGAGGCAGGAGAATCAATTGAACCCAGGAGGCGGAGGTTGCAGTGAGCGGAGATCACCCCATTGCATTCCAGACCGGGCAACAGAGCAAGACTTCATCTTGAAAAAAGTAAAAAATAAAAATCTCTGAATCTAGAGCCAGAATATTACTTATTTTTCCTGTCTGTTTAGAGAAATGTTCTTTCAGGCATTTGTCAAATAATGGTAATGTATGCTAGTAAATCACACTCTGCCATTCACATGTAACCTTGTGAAGGAGCAGAAGAGAAATATAAGGTGGAAAAGACTCTCTGAGGAAATATACTCTCAATCAGATGGAAATTTTTACTCTAAATTTTCTCCCAGTTTCTAAACAGAAGTGAAGATAACAATAATTTTACTCTATTGTTAGAATAAGCATATATACTTGGGTTTAAAATGCTCACTTCAAAATAAACATAAACTTATATATAAATATGTTTTTATATATAATACACATACAGAATAAATTTGTATACATTTAAACACAAGTATCAGAGAATGCTTTATGAATCTGAATAGTTTCAGAAAAAGGATTGGAATTAATTCATGGTTCCTTGGATGTAGAACTAAGAGTATCAAAGGTATTTTTTTAACTTATGTTAAAATTACAATGCTTTATTCAATGGTTAGTGAAAATCAGAAAATTAGAAAGCATAAACAAAGAATAACATTTGCAAAGCAAAGAATCAATTTTCCCAACATATTATCTAGAGACCTAATCTAATCCAGAAAACTCCCTTGAACAACAGAACAGAAATGAAGCCTTGTTCTGCTCTCCTGCTCTTTGATCCTAACTACGAATATTACTACCTAAGAAGCTCCTGCTAAAAGAAAAAATAAATAAAAAATGACAAGTAACTTAGGTAAAATGTAAATTTGGCTTTTCAAAATTACTGCACACTGCTAGTCATTCATTCCCTCTGTTATTAACAAGCATTTACTTAGCATCTATGTGCAAAATGGTGCATAAGGCACCACAAAGGATGCCCAGATGAACTAGACATAGGCAGATTATGCCTTTAAGGAATAGACAATCTGGTAGAGCCCTGAAAGATATCTAAGAGATCATCTCATCTTACAGATAATTAAACCAATATTCAGAGGAATTACATGACCTTTTTAAGGTCATACAGTCACTTAGTGCTAAAACCAGTTTGAGAAGCCCATTTAATTTAATTAATTTAATTCTCAGTTAAGAATTTGGTCCCATACATCATGCAACCATTTAGATGATTAGCTAAAGCTGGACCCAGTTAAGCTTAAAATTCAATGATTGGTTTTAAATTCAAAAGCACAAAATAAAAATAATTAAGGTTTTATACGTGAGGGATGGTTTAATAAATTGTGGTATGATCATACTCTGGAATATTATAGATATTAAAAAATGAGTAGTATGTATAGAATACACCTACAAATTGCATAAACTAGATGCAAGACAAAGATACTATATGAAAATAAAACTACAGACCTAAGTCCCTGATGAATATTCATGAAAAATCCTTAAAAATACAAGCAAATAGAATTAAACAACATATTAAAAGGACCAAATGCTATAATCAAATGAAATTTTAAGCTGGAATGCAAGAATGGTTCAACATACAAAAATCAATCATTAGTAGAATAAAGAGGAAAAAGCACATGCTCATCTCTATTGATACAGAAGAAGCATTTGACAAAATTCAAAACTCATGATTTTTTTAAAGAAAAGCCTAACACACTAGGGATAGAAGCAAATGACCTCTACGTAATTAAAGCCATATATGAAAAGCCCAGAGATAACATCATAATAACAGGCTTTTTTCTAAGATTAGGAAGAAGACAGACATGCCCACTTTTGCCCATTCTATATATCATAGTATTAGGAATCCTAGCCAGAGCCACTAGGCAAGAAAAAGAAATAAAAGATATTAAAATTGGAAAAGAAATTATCTCCATTTACAGATAATACGACTTTGTATATAAAAAGTCTAAAGATTATACACACACACGCACAGAGTTATAACTAATAAATTCAGTAAAGTTACAGATACAAAACCAATGCACAAAAATCATTTGCGTTTCTATACTAACCATGAAAAATCTATTTTTAAAAATTTAAAAACAATTTCATTGACAATAACATCAAAAGAATGAAATACTTATGGCCAGGTGCAGTGGCTCATACCTGTAATTCCGGCACTTTGATAGGCTGAAGCAGGTGGATCACCTGAGGTTAGGAGTTTGAGATCAGCCTGGCCAACATAGTGAAACCCTGTCACTACTAAAAATACAAAAATTAGCCAGGCATGTTGGTGGACACCTATGGTCCCAGCTACTGGGGAGGCTGAGGCACAAGAATCAATTGAACCCAGGAGGTGGAGGTTGCAGTGAGCTGAGATCACACCACTGCACTCCAGCCTGGGTGACAGACTGAGACCCCATCTCAGGAAAAAAAAAAAGAATAAAATACTTAGGAACAAACTTGACCTTAGAGGGGAAAGACTTGTACACCAGAAACTACAAAATGTTACTGAAATAAATTAAAGAAGATATAAATAAATGAAAAGGCATCCTGCGATCATGGATTGCAGGATTTAATATTGTTAAGATGTCAATACTACTCAGAGAATCTACAGATTTAATGTAATTTCTATAAAAATCCCAATGATGTCTTTCAGAAATAAAAAAGTCCATCCTAAAATACATATGAAATCAGAAGGGGTCCTATATAGCCAAAACAATCTTAAAAATGAACAAAGTTGGTCCACATTTCCCATTTCAAAATTTACTGCAAAGTTACAGTAATCATAACAATGTGATAATGACATAAAGACAGACATATAGAGCAATGGAAAAGAATAGAGAGCCCAGAAATAAACCCTCTCATATATATATATGGTTAAATGAGTTTATATTTATCATTTATGTCTTTATTTGAATTGACAAAAATTATATGTATTTATTTTGTACAACACATTGTTTTAAAATATGTCTATCTTATACAATGGCTAAATCAAGCTAATTAACCTCACATAATGTTTTTTGTTGTGAAAACAAAATCTATTCTCTTAGCAATTTTCAGGAACATAATATATTGTTATTAACTATAGTCACTGTGTTGTACAATAGATCTCTTGAATTTATTCCTTTTATCTAACTGAAATTTTGTAATTCTTTGACCAACATCTTCTGAAAACACTCCACCACCACCGTACCTCCTGGTAACCACCATTCTACTTTCTACTTCTATGAGTTCAACTTTTTTATATTCTACATTTAAGTGAGAAAATGCATTATTAGTCTTTTTCTTTGTCTGACTTATTTCACTCAGTATAACGTACTCAAGTTTCATCTGTGTTGCCCCAAATAGCAGAATTTCCTTATTTTATGACTAATAATATTCCAGTGTGTGAGTGTGTGTATGTGTATCACATTTTCTTTATCCACTCATTCAATGATGGACATGGACACTTAGGTTGCTTCTATATCTTGGCTATTGGGAATAATGCTGCAGTGAACATGGGAATGCAGATGTCTCTTCAAAATACTGATTTAGTTTCCTTTGGGTATATACACAGAAGTGGGATTGCTTGATTTTATGATAGTTCTATTTTTAATTTTTGAGGAATCTTCTTATTGTTTTCCATAATGGCTGTATTAATTTACATTTCCACCTACAGTGTACCGGAGTTCTCTTTTCTTCACTTCCTCTCCAACACTTGTTATCTTTTTGTCTTTTTGATAATATCCAATATAACAGATGTGAGATAATATCTCATTGTGGTTTCAATTTGCATTATCTGATGATTCGTGATTTTGAGGACTTTTTCATATATCTGTTAGCCATTTGTAGATCTTCTTTTGAGAAATGCCTATTCAGATTATTTGACCTTTTTTTTTTTTGAGATGGAGTTTCGCTCTTGTTACCCAGGCTGGAGCGCAATGGCGCGATCTCGGCTCACCTGGGCTCAATCTCTGCCTCCTGGGCTCAGGCAATTCTCCTGCCTCAGCCTCCTGAGTAGCTGGGATTACAGGCACGCACCACCATGCCCAGCTAATCTTTTGTATTTTTAGTAGAGACGGGGTTTCACCATGTTGACCAGGATGGTCTCGATCTCTTGACCTCGTGATCCATCCACCTTGGCCTCCCAAAGTGCTGGGATTACAGGCGTGAGCCACTGCACCCGGCCTATTTGCCCATTTTTAAATTAGACTGTTTGTTTTCTTAGTACAGGAATTGAGCTGTTTGAGTTTCTTCTATATTTTGGATATTAACCCCTCATCAGATATGTGGTTTGTTAATATTTTCTCCCATTCTGTGGGTTGTCTCCTCGCTCAGTGTAGTATTTTATTAGCTATGCAGAAGCTTTTTTGTTCGATGTAATCCCATTTGTCTATTTTTGCTGATGCTTTCGGTTCATGTTCACCATAACATTGGCCAGACAAAAGTCATGGAGCTTTTCCTCTACTTCTAATATTTTTATTATTTTGAGTCTTTCTTACATTTCAGTCTTTAATCCATTCTGAGTTGGTTTTTGTATATGATGTGAGATAATGGTCTAATTTCATTCTTCTGCATGTGAATGTGGTCAAATGATTTTCAACAAGGATGACAAGACTATTTGCAAATGGTTAAGATGGTTAACATAAATTGTTAGCATAAATTTTACGGTATGTATATTTTACCACAATTAAAATTCTGTAAGTACAACCATGTGTAGGAGACTCAAACTTTACTGAAATAGAAGATATATATGTATATATGCTGGTTTATATTTGCAGAAGCAGAGAGAAAGGTATTAAAGAATATGCAAATTCTTAATGTTGATTACCTCCAGAACATTAGTTTTGGAAGAGATGTGTTCATCTTCAGAGAAGGGAAAGGATGTTAATTTTTCTTTATATGCCTCTGTCCTCTTTGACTTGTTACAGTGTGTATCCATTACTAGCACATATGTTTAAGTTTAAAAAGTCAGAAAACAATCTATAAGCAAAAGTCATTAAAGGTTTTAGTTAGCCATAGGTACATTGACTACTACTGAAGGCAAGAATATTAGACAGAGCTCTGAGGATTCTATAACTTCCACAAATTGATCATAGAAAGGTATACTTCGTTTGAAAGTTGATACATCAGGTTATAATTCATGTTTTGATGACACTACTATTAGTCTTTCCACATCTAAACAAATTGTTTAGAAAACCATGATCATGGTTAAGTGACCACTTAGGGAAAAATGGTAAGTTAAGATAAATATTGCCTAAAGGCTGTCAAAGGACAAGTATGACAAAGCATGCCAGGGCAACACTTGGTTCAAAGCTAGTCTCTCATGTGACTTGTGTAGAGAGACACTTCTGTGATTGGCTTCCATGATGAGCCTTCACTAAGGAGAGGGCAAAGAAGAAACATAATGAGACTTAATTGAGCAATGGACAAAGCAGGCAATTGAAATGTTGAAGTGCTATTTATAACTTTCTTCCTTCGTTTTTTTTTTTTTTGAAAGAATGAAGTAAAACTCTCTTTATTTGCCTATGACATGATTCTATATGTAAAAAATTCTAAGGTTCCAAATACAAATAACAAATCTATTTGAATGGGATATTTAGAAACTCTGTATTATCTTTACAACAATTCTATAAATCAAAAACCATTTTAAAACCAAAAGTTTATCTTAAAAAGAAAAAATTAATTGAACTAATAAAGGAATTTACTATCCAAATAATAAAAGAGTTCAGCAAAATCACAGATGAACTTACAAAACTTACAAGATCAACTTACAAAAATCATCTTGTTTTTATATATACTTTAGGTTCTGGGATACATGTGCAGAACATGCAGGTTTGTTACATAGCTATACACGTGCCATGGTGGTTTGCTGCACCCATCAACCCCTCATCTACATTAGGTATTTCTCCTAATGCTATCCCTCCCCTAGCTCCCTCTTCCCCAACAGGTCCCAGTATGTGATGTTCCCCTCCCTGTATCCATGTGTTCCCATTGTTCAACTCTTACTTATGAGTGAGAACATGCAGTGTTTGGTTTTCTGTTCCTGTGTTAGTTTCCTGAAAACTATTGTTTCCAGCTTCATTCATGTTCCTGCAAAGGATATGAACTCATTCTTTTTTATGGCTGCATAGTATTCCATGGTGCCACATTCCATATGTGCCACATTTTCTTTATCTGGTTGATCAGTGATGGGCATTTGGGTTTGCTCCAAGTCTTTGCTATTGTGAATAGTGCTGCAATAAGCATATTGTGTATGTGTCTTTATAGTGGAATGATTTATAATCCTTTGGGTATATACCCAGTAATGGGATTGCTGAGTCAAATGGCATTTCTGGTTCTAGATCCTTGAGGAATCACCACACTGTCTTCTTCAATGGTTGAACTAATTTACATTCCCACCAACAATGTAAAAGCATTCCTATTTCTCCACATCCTCTCCAGCATCTCTTGTTTCCTGACTTTTTAATAATTGCCATTCTACTGGTGTGAGATGATATCTCATTGTGGTTTTGGATTTGCATTTCTCTAGTGACCAGTGATGATGAGTTTTTTCAAGTTTGTTGACCGCATGAACGTTTTCTTTTGAGAAGTGTCTGTTCATATTCTTTGCCTACTTTTTGATGGGATTTTTTTTTCTTGTAAATTTGTTTAAGTTCCTTGTAGATTCTGGATGTTAGACCTTTGTTAGATGGATAGATTGAAAAAATTTTCTCCCATTCTGTAGGTTGCCTGTTCACTCTGGTGATAGTTTATTTTGCTGTGCAGAAGCCCTTTAGTTTAATTTATAACTTTCCAAACACTTCAGGTATTAGCCAGAGACTCGCATTGAAATTGACATCAAGGAAAGATGTTAGGTAAATATGCAGCTTTAGGGAACATATAAAAGGACAGATATAGAAGGTGCAGCCCAAACTCGGAAACCTCTCTTCACAACACAGCTCTCAACCTAGTTCCTGACACCATGGCCAGGTGTTCCACCAGTGAGACCTGTGGCTCCAGCTGCTGCCAGCCAAATTGCTGTGAGACAAGCTGCTGCTAGACCAGCTTCTGCCAGCCAAGCTGCTGCCAGACTGTGACACTGGCTGTGGCCAGGAGGGTAGCTGTGGCATTGGCAGTGGCATTGGCTGTGGCCAAGAGGGTGGCTGTGGAGCTGTGAGCTCCCACACCAGGTGATGCCGCCCAGACTGCCACATGGAGGTCACCTGTCTGGCCCCCTGCTGCCTGGAGAGCTGCATGCCCCCATCCTGCTGCCAGCTGCACCACACCCAGGCCTCCCACTGCAGCTCATCCTACTGTGGACAGTCCTACTGCCATCCAGCCTGCTGCTGCCACCGCCATGAGCCCACCTGCTAAAAGCCAGGTTGCTGATCGCTTAAGGATGAAAGGGGAAGCACAGCAAAATTGTGCTGATTTATGAAGAATTGTTCAATTGTACTTGGATGCTAAGTACCATGATGTTGCTAAGCTGTTCAGACATCATGAAACTTCTAGCTAGCACACTGTGGATGTGCTGAATTTGCTCACTGAAACATGTATCAATCAGTGTTCTGGATAGCTTGCCTTGCTGGAGCAGAGGACTGGGATGGAATGGTTCATCATTTCAGGGACTTCTCTGCTCCCCCAACTCTCTCTTGATGCCCATGCACCTTCAGACCTGGTTTTTCCTTGAATATCACCGATTAATTCAAGTTATATATCTTAATGTGCAAAGCAAACTGAGTTATGTCCTTCTCCCTTTAAGCATGTCTTCCTGTAGTTGGAATTCAAGAGTGGAGGTGCATTATATTAATAATACCAAGGCATAACCATAAAGTCTAAACGAGAAAGATTAAGTACAAAGTAAATTATGCTTGAATCCATCTTTAAAATGCTCCAGGAATTAAATAAATGTTTACAGTTATTCAAATACTTACATGCTTTAATTGATTATGATTAGGTCTAGACCAATAAAAGTTGACCTGCAGCTAAAATTTTAAAGTTGATCAAAGCTATCGATTTCTACCTAAATGTACTTCTACCATCTTTTGTCTCCTTCCATTTAATATACTAGATGCTCTCCTTCATTTATGCCCAACATCTAAAGAAATTGTACTGCCTTCTAAATAGATTTTAAAATATCTACTAGATATTACCTATTTTCCAAGAGTATTTTGGTTTAATTTCTATACCTTAGCCTTTCACATTCTTCCCATTGATCCCTGAATTGCTCTCTAAGCTTCAACTCCCACTATTCACCTTCATTTGATGTAGGTATGCATAAGGTATATCTCTAGTCTAAATGACAGTAGAATAAGCAGCTATAAAAGCACCCACTGAGTTCTACCATTGCCATTTGTCAGACAGATGCATTCGAAATCTGAAACAGCTCTGTTATATTTTGTACTTTGCAACCCAACTTAAAAGATTTTCTCTTAAGAAGTTGACATAACCTAGAACAAAACAAAATAGCTTTTATCACTTAATTTTTAAATTCTTCATTAGGCATTAGAGTGCAATATATAAAATACAATAAGATGCAAATATAGAACAGACTAAGAAACACATTTCCCACATTATTTACAAGCTCCTGGAACTTACCTCTATCATTTAATTGGTAGCTATGATGGATTATACACAAGATTGTGCAATTTCCGAGAGGAATAAAGTAGATGGCAGTACATTCTTCAAAGTGTCATAACTCCTAGATGTTTTTTCTTTAGCCCAATTCAACTACTTAATTTAAAAAAGAAAACACACATTTCTTAGTCTTTTTACAGCAAATACAAGACTCTTTCATGAGAGGTACTACAGCTTGAAAGTTCTCTTTAATCATGTATGAGTGGTATTGACATCCATGAATCATGCCTTTTACTCCACCTATTCAATAAATCTTTATTGAATCAGATTCAATAAACATTTAAGGTTCTACCACAAGCTAAGCATTCTGCTGGATACCTTCCTATATACTGTGTCAATTTGGTTCCCAAGAAAAGATTTCTGCCCTGGAACGGGAATAATATTTACACATTCCAAATTGGTTGAAATTAAAGGGACTATAATCATTAATTCAGTATGACGTTGGAATAAAACAAGGTGAAGTCTATGAATTATGCATGACCAAAGGTACTCTTTCCGTTCAGTAGATATCCAGATATCCAAAATTCAGGAGGGTTTAGCCTATATATCCAGGAGGAAAAAATAATAGTTAAATAAAACAGCACAATTGTTACTCTTAGCCTTAGAGGTCTGGATAGATTATCACGTGGAATAACTAATACGTAAAATGAGAGCATGTATTTGGACTAAGATGGAAAGACTCTTTGAACATGGGAAACCACAAACATACTCCAAAGAGCAAATGACTGATATGAGGAGTACCGAAGAAACTATAAAACAGAGTAATTTCTAAACTGTTGCTCACTATGTGTCATAAGTATTTCAATGTAAACCAATCAGAGATCCACTGAGAAACAAATTTAAACAAAAACAAGGAAAATATGTTAAGAATTTTGTAAACAGCAGCTGGCTCAGATATATAAAAGGGCCAGTGTGGAAGTCACCACCAAAACTCAGAAACTCCTCTGAGCAACCTCTCAACCCAAATCCCGACACCATGGCCTGTTGTCAGACCAGCTGCTGCCAGCCAAGCTGCTGCCAGACCAGCTTCTGCGGATTTCCCAGCTGCTCCACCGGTGGGACCTGCGGCTCCAGCTGCTGCCAGCCAAGCTGCTGTCAGACCAGCTGCTGCCAGCCAAGCTGCTGCCAGACCAGCTGCTGTGGAACCAGCTGTGGCATTGGTGGTAGCATCGGCTGTGGCCAGGAGGGTGGCTGTGGAGCTGTGAGCACCCGTATCAGGTGGTGCCGCCCAGACTGCCGTGCAGAAGGCACCTGCCTGCCCCCCTGCTGCGTGGTGAGCTGCACACCCCCATCCTGCTGCCAGCTGCACCATGCCCAGGCCTCCTGCTGCCGCCCATCCTACTGTGGACAGTCCGGCTGCCGCCCAGTCTGCTGCTACTCCTGCTGTGGGCCCACCTGCTGTGAGCCCACTTGTTGAAAGCTGGTTTGCTTATTTTCAGTTGCATAGGTCACAATAGCTCTGAACTGTTCATCTCTTGACCACTCCTGGACCACTAGCAAGTTCTCAGACTTTTATTGCTTTTCCTGTGATGGAGACTACTCTCACAATATCTCTGAACTGTTCATCTCTTGACCACTCCTAGACCACTAGCAAGTTCTCAGACTTTTATTGCTTTTCCTGCGATGGAGACTACTAAGTATATGAGCTCTCAATTCTACCTGATTCCATTCTACAATGAATATCTTGACCCTTCACTGGTGACACAGAAAGGCTACAAAGCCACCGGCAGATCATCAATTTTGCTTGGGATATATTGTTTCTCATATTTCTGCAGTATTAAAAATTACTGACACGTTGTGGAATTCATCCATGAGAGTTATCCACAAGTCTAATGTTTCCATGCTTTATAATCTATTTTTATCTTGTTTACCTAAAATTTTGCAATGTCAAAGACACCAAATTATACCCAAGTGACATTCCTCAGGTGTCACCGGAGAAAATGGAAGCTCATCGCCCAACATTCAGCTTCTAAGAAGTAGGCTGGACTTTCTACATTTTAACATCTGATCCATTCCTCTGTTTTTGGATCATAATGATCTTGCCTGCTGGACTATTTCAGTTATATCTGTGATACAATATCTTCTGTCATTTCTTAATAAACATTATGTACTAGGCAAAGAAACCATGGTCTTTGTTTTCACTTGTACCTCATCTGGTTTAACTGCTTATAATTTAAGAATGTCTACTTGAGGCCAGGAGCAGTGGCTCACACCTGTAATCCTAGCAATTTGGGAGGCTGAGGCAGATGGATTACTCGAGCTCATGAGTTCAAGACCAGCCTGGGCAACATGGTGAAATCCTGTCTCTACTAAAAATACAAAAAAAAAAAATTAGTTGGGTGTGGTAGTGCACACCTGTAGTCCCAGCTACTCAGGAAGCTGAGACAGGAGAATCACTTGAACCTGGGAGGCAGAGGTTTCAGTGAGCAAAGATTATGCTACTGCACTTCATTACACTATGCAATAAACTGCAGTAAGCACTCAAAATGGCAATTTCCTATATATGACACCAAAGAAGACATAAGGTGCCCTAAACAGTTAACTAATGGCAAAAAGACACACATTTCCAAGTCCAAAGCAAAAGTGGGAACCTTTCTTTTATTGAACATCATTGGCCATGTAAGCGTAGGTAGACAATGAAAGGGATGAAGGAAAATGAATTAAGGTATTAAAGGGTGGAGAAAAGAATGAAAAGGGGAAGAAAAGAACAAAATAGAGGCGAAAAGACAGAAAGAAGACACAGTAAAAAAGGCTAAGTATAAGAGGCTGAAAGAAAAGGAGGAAGAGGGATGGAGACGACACTCCTGAAGGGGAAGGAGGTGAACCAGCATGGCCTTGTTAGTGCCATATGCTGTGCACCTGCCAAGTACACATCATGCAGACTTTGGTTCACATAACATTCGTGTCAATCCTGTGAAATAGATATGGTGATCCTGGCTTGTAGATAAGTAAGTCTAAAAGAAGCTGAATAGCTTGCTTACAGTCACATAATTCATAAGTTTAGAAGGAAAACTGAAATCTGAATGCAACTCTGTCTGACTCCAAAATTTATGGAGAGAATGAAATTAAGAGAATAGATATAAAGGAAAGTGTGGGAAAATTTATAAGATTTAAAGATGGCTATTTCAGAGACTGTGGGCTTCAGAATAAGTTACTCTGTGCTGCTGGTTAAGTTGTGGTCTGAGAACTCCACACCCTCCCTTCTATACTCAGCTTTTCCATGTTAGTGATAAAATCTGCAAGCCACATTGTTGCTTTTCCAGCTCTCCATGTTAGGCCTTGCTCCAGTCAGCCAGCACCCTATCCTCAGAGGTCTGAGTCAGATCCGCTGGGATTATCCTCCAAGTTCAGAGACATCAGAACATGTCAAGAAAATATACGACTTTCAGTTCTGCAGGACCCATCCTCTAAACTTATACATTTTAATGACTTCTAACTCTTCCTTTGTTCCTTTATCCCTAGAGTGAGTAGCTGCTTCCTGTAGTTGCTACTTCCATGTTCAAATAATTGGCATGGTTTTTGTCTTCACACTAGATGCTGACTGATAGAAAAGTTGTCTTTAAGGGCACATATAATTACACTGGGCCTACCTGGATAATTCAGAATACTCTCACTGTCTTGAAGTCAACTGATTAGTAACCTTAATTACATTTGAAATGCCCCTTTTGTTATGTAGCAGAACGTATTCATGGTCATAACACAAGGGCTCAGAAGCCTTGGAGGCTGACATTCTACCAATCACAGGAGCTTTTAGACGCTAAGTTGACACTGATTTCTAGGGACCCAAATGCCCTGGTCCTCCAATAATAAATGGTGACTTTTGGTGGCCAGATGATAGGTAGAATCTTGGTCTACATTTGAACCACAGTGGATCCAGTGGAAATGCAGACCAATTCCCCAATTTGTGAACGTATAATTGGAATAATCATGCTTGACAACTGGCAGAATCCCTACATTGGCACACTGGCCTGAGGAATAAACCTCATTTGGTAAAAAGGGCCAAGGTAAAGCCCCCAGAAGTTTCCCTTGATATAAGAATAGTAATTAAAAAATAAGACTATTTTGATGGGAAAACGTTGAAGATGGGTGCCATTGTCAGAGACTTAGAAAAAACCGGGTGATGATACCGGCCACCTCCTCATTGAGCTTACTTGTTATCCTGTGGAGAAAGCAGATAAATCTTGGAGTATAACAGGACAATTAAGTATTATTATTTTAAATGAATTCAGGTGGTAACCTCCACTGGAGAAGATGTTCCAAATGTCATATCTTGAATGGAACAAATGAACACAGCCCCTGGCAACTGGTATGCAGCTACTGATGTGAAAATTCATTTTTCCCTATATCAAGGCAAGCAGAAGTACTTCTCTTTGACCTAGCATAGCCAACAGGAACCTTCCAAGCATTGCCGCTGGGATGTGCCAACTATCTTGCTCTCTGGCCTGATATACTCATGGCGTTAATCATCTTGACTTTCCTTACAACATCATAGCAGTCTACTGCATCAATGACCTCATGCTGGTTGCATGTGACGAGCAGGAAGTAACAAGCACCTTAGAGGACTTAGTAATAAAGCATTAATGAACTCCAGGGTGAGGAACAAACTACAAAAATTAAAAAGCTCACCAATTCAGTGAAGTTTCCTGGAGTCCAGTTGTTGGGAACACATTGAGATATCCTTTCCAAGGTGAAAGAAAAACTGCTGTATTTTAAACTAACTTCAGCTAAAAAAGAACAATCCTTGGTGGGCATTTTTGTATTTTGGGATCAACATACACCATATTTGAGTGTGCTATTTCAACCCGCTTAATGAATAACTCAAAATGCTTCCAGGTTTTAGTGGGGACAAGAGCAAGAGAAAGCTTTAAAGAAAAGTCCCAGCTATGGGTGTGGTGGCATGTGTCTGTTATCCCAGCTACTCCAGAGACTGAGGCAGGAGAATTGCTTGAACCTGGGAGGAGGTTGCAGTGAGCCTGGATCAAGCCACTGCACTTCAGCCTTGGCAACAGAGCAAGACTCTGCCTGAAAAGAAAGAAGGAAGGAGGGAAGGAAGGAAGGAAGGAAGGAAGGAAGGAAGGAAGGAAGGAAGGAAGGAAGGAAGGAAGGAAGGAAGGAGAGGGAAGGAAGGAAGAAAAGAAGGAGGGAGAGAGGGAAGGAAGGAAAGAGAGAGGGAAGGAAGGAAAGAGAGAGGGAAGGAAGGAGAGAGGGAAGGAAGGAAGGAAGGAAGGAAGGAAGGAAGGAAGGAAGGAAGGAAGGAAGGAGAGGGAAGGAAGGAAGAAAAGAAGGAAGGAGAGAGGGAAGGAAGGAAAGAGAGAGGGAAGGAAGGAAAGAGAGAGGGAAGGAAGGAGAGAGGGAAGGAAGGAAGGAAGGAAGGAAGGAAGGAAGGAAGGAAGGAAGGAAGGAGCCAGCTACAATTCAGGCTGTTATTTCATTTGAGCCTTATAAGCCAGCACATCCAGCGATATTTGAAGTATCTATGGAAAATACATGCTCACTGTGTGTAGACTCTGGCAAGCATCAGTAGAAAAATTACAGGTCAGACTTATAACGTTCTGGAGAAAATCCATGCCCTCTTCTGAAAATAATTGCTCTCCTTTTGATAAACTACTTCTGGCTTGCTAGTGGGCAAGAACTGGAAAAAATAGAATGATTGTGCAACCTGAGCTTCTCCTGCTTAGCAGAGGTTGTTATCTACCTAAGGCAGGGGCCCCTAAGCCCTGGGCAGTGGATTGATACCAGTCCATGGCCTGTTAGGAACCAGGCAGCACAGCAGGAGGTGAGCCACTGGCCAGGAACATTACTGCCTGAACTCAACGTCCTGTCAGATCAGTGGTGGCATTAGATTCTCAGAGGAGCGCAAACCCTATTGTGAACCATGCATATGAGGGATCTAGGTTGTGGGCTCCTTATGAGACTCTAATGCCTGATGATCTGTCACTGTCTCCTGTTACTCCCAGATGGGGCTGTCTAGTTGCAGAAAAATAAGTTCAGGGCTCCCATTGATTCTACATTATGGGGAGTTATATAATTATGTCATTGTAAATTACACTACAATAATAACAGAAATAAAGTGCACAATAACTGTAATGCACTTGAATCATCCTGAAGCATCCCCATTCACCTCCCTGGTCCATGGAAAAACTGTCTTCCATGAAGCTGGTCCCTCATGTGGAAAAGTTGGGGACCTCTGCCATATGCCATACCCTAAGCTAAGTAAGCTTCATATGAACCTAATTTCACTGAATACTTACATCAATCCTGTAAAATAGATACTGCCACCTTACCTTTGTAGATGAGGAAATAAAACCTAAACGGGGTTCAATAGTTTGTTCAGAAATACAAATCCAACTCTGACTCCAAAAATTCATGACGAGACCATGAAATTAAGGAATTGGAAGTAAAGATTGGTGTTGGGAGATTCAGTAACTACATCTCTCTGGGAAACTGTGGGCTTCAGGATAAGTTCCTCTTTGTGCCCATTTAGTTCCTCTTTCTCTGCTCTAAGACTTCCCTGGTGTACTCTGCAAAACACACTGTGGCATTGCCCGTGGCTCTGTTAGGCTTTTCCACTAGGGGGTGACAGAGGAAAACTGCAAAGCTGGAAGAGGAGGACGGGACTTTTTCCTTCCTTCCGCTTCATTGGGTCTTCCTGTATGCTAAGCAGATCCCAAGATAATCGCCCCAAGTCACACTTCTCACTCCAGCAGGTGCAGATCCTGCCCATGGCAGCACATGAATTCAGTTTGCAGTTTTCTCAACACTTGTAGAACCGGCTTCATTGTCTCCTTTGCAGGGTCACCAGGACCAACCAGTCCTCTCTTAAAACAGCATGTTCTCACTGATAGGCGGGTGTTGAACAATGAGAACACATGGACACAGGGAGGGGAGCACTACACACTGGGGTCTGTTGCAGGGGAATAGGGGAAGGACAGTGAGGGGTAGGGAGTTGGGGAGAGATAGCATGGGGAAAAATGCCAGATATAGGTGAAGGGGAGGAAGGCAGCAAATCACACTGCCACGCGTGTGTACCTATGCAACTATCTTGCATGTTCTTCACATGTACCCCAAAACTTAAAATGCAATAAATTAAAAAAAATTTTTTTTTAAAAACAGTTTCAGCTCT